GGGGGGGGGTCGAAACGATCGCAAAGGCGGTATACTACGTATACGCGCCAAAAAAAAAAAAATATTAAATATTCATCTTAAGATAAGGCGAGAACTACCTTCCGTCGTTGAAGCTACTTGCGAGCAGGGTAGACTGCAACGGAAAAAAAATATGAAAGATTTGAAATTTCAGTGCGACACACACACCCTCCCTCTCCCTCTCACATACTCACACAAAAACAATAAGTGAAATATTTCATTTCTTGAAAGGCTAAGGTATAGATTCAACCCGCACTCAAAAACACATTTACTGCAAGCATTTGTAGAACATGAAGAGGTTTGAAACGTATGCACATCTGATACAGCCAAAACTGCATGCATCTGAATGTTATGAACTAAATTTTTAGCTGCCTTAAAAATTGGCGACAAGAATCTAAAATCGCAATGTAATTTCCAGTGATTTCCATACTGAAATCTCAAGAAAGACTTCATGTGATTTCAAGATTTTTTTAAAAGGAAAAATACTAGTCATCACTGAAACCATTGTTTCTTGAGATATTACTTTGACTTAAAGCGTCGTTTGTTGTCGACAAAATTTGGTTTCGTTGAGTTTAATCTGTGCGGATTTAACTTGGAGTCAGTTTTCTTTTAATTACAGAAACGTTGTTTTGCAATTGTTTTTTTTAACTAGACGATGGCAAAACGACACTTTTTTAATTAGAGGAATTTGATGTTGGGTTGAGTCCGTACAGATTTAACAAAAAAAAAAAAAAAAAAAAAAAAAAAANAAGTAAAAGTAATACCCCAAGAATTTTTTGTTCCAGGGATGCTTACGCGTGTCATCCGAAAATAGAGTTTTTCTCCTTAAACTAGGCCATCCAAACGAGAGAAGATTAATTAATGATTAAAAATATGCTCAGTATCGGCCTCTATGACGCAGACTCTCAACTTGAAAATCAGATCATGATTCTGAAAACTGGTGTAAGAACTCGCAAGGAAACACGATTTTATTACTTTTAGCTTTAGAATAAGACAAACGTTTTGAAAGATAGAGGATAAAAATACTAAGGAGCTTCGGCTCGGTTGTGTACGATGAAAAGTATGAGCACGCGCCGATCGACAGGAGGTGGCTTTAGAAAAATCGAGTTCTCTTGCGAGTCATTTGACCTGTTTTCAGAATCTGGATTCAATAGTAAATTTGAGTGTTCGTCGTACATACATTTTTAAGTCACTCATTTAATTCATTTTTCGTTTGATAATTATGAAATAGGGAAGCTTACTATTTGAATGTTCCTCGTGAAGTGCACTGAGTAAAACTTCAGTTTCGATGACGAAACTTTATACTTACTTATCGATGACATTTTTTGAGTAGTGGTGGAACCCTTTACGTCCATTTTCCGTATTTTACGCACTGAAAAAAAAACTCCGGCCGTGGGAGCCGCAATTACGGGCTATATAGCCATACCGTCCGGTCCGGGCTCAAATCCGAAAATTCCGGCTGCCGGAGCCGTAGCTTCGGCCTCTGAACCCGGAGCAATCGAAGCTACGCTTCCAGCAGCCGGAATTTTCGGCCTTTGAGCCCGAACGGACGGTTTGTCTATATAGTGCGGGGGGGGGGCAAAAAAGTAACGAAAATCTCTATCTCAGGTTATTAGCAGTTTAATTTCCAAAGTGCGAGAGAGATAGAGAGGAGGATGATTTTAAAAGGCATGCACTAAGAAAAATCAATTTATCATCACGAGAAAGCCTCCTGCAGCAGGTTTTGGTTGCGCGGATGACACTAGTTTCGTCATTAGAACAATAGATTGTGCGGTATAAAATTTTCATTGTGAATAGTAGTTTCATTGTAGTAATGAAACTTTCTGCCACGACTGGACAACTTCATTACGACATGGCGTAATGAAATTACGCGCTCCAGTTTCTTACTCGATCTTTTCCTTGGCAAACAAGAATGAGCCTTCGAATTTGCGGTAAAAATAAAGTAAATTGCTGTGATACAAAACCTTCACGGAGAAAACTGCAGGGACAATCTACTAATCAAAACGTATTGTTTTTTAAATGAAGGTAATGAAATGGACCGCCTTTCTCGGGACAAGGAATAAAAATTAACCATGTCTCCTGACAAGAAAATGGTGTTTAAGAGCCAAAAAATTTTATTCTGCACGAGTGTATTGCTATCATCGTTTGGGATGACGACTGCACTGCCGGAAGTCAGAGCTGATTGCGGACGAATGATGGTACAAGGTTATCTTTCGTGTGAAATCAAACATAACAACAACATAATTCCATACAACGGCCCATCAAAACAGGTATTTCATTCCTTCAATTCCGAAATTTAATTTGATTCTTCAACGAAGCATTGTTCTTCCTCGTTGAACAAACTTGTTCATTACCTTAAACTATAAAATTTCAAGAAATGGGTAGCGGCATGAATAATGAATACACACTTCTATTTTTAAGGTATGAATGTATTCCGGTGTATATTCTTTAGGAAAATATTGTGTGCACTCCGAAAATGGTACTACTAAATCTAATTCTGGTTCTAAGTTCCTATGAAATACGAAAAATGAATACAATGAATGAATACTTATTTCAATGTAGTCTCCCTAATTTGTCTCCGATTTTCCTTAAACTTGCGCGGGCGAATAAATTTATTAAGTAACTTTCGGGTGGAGCCTTATTTTAGCCTTATTTACTCTGACGAGCGAGCCGATTATTGAAATTGATAGACAAAGCTATAGACAAAGAAGACAAAAGAGATATGAAGGGATCCTATTGGTGGAAGCAGGTGGTTGCAATGGACAAAGGAGGTAGGTAGTAGACTAACTAGCGGCAACCCAAGAGAAACCCTATTGTTGCTCCATGATTTTCACCCTTAGTCTATAGCAGCCAACGATTTCAACCAATAGGATCGCTCCATACTCCATATGTCTTTTTTGTCTGTACAGCTTTGTCCATTAATTTCAATTATCAGCCCGCAGCTCTAACTTTGATGATTCGTGATCGAGACATGCGAGGCAGGACCTTCATACCTTATTAAGGTGATTCTATGTGACCTAGGGGCAAGATCCGTCTCTACGTTTGATCCGTTAACTTTGATAAACTGGACGTATTTCTGTCAAACGGAACTAAGCGCCATCGGGTGAGAAAGGGAGAGGGGGGCTTGGATTGGCGGCGAAATCGGGCTTCGGGCTCACTCCGTCCTATACTCGCAATGCTTTTCCATGGCGCTTGGTTCCGTTTGACAAAACGCGCTATCCGGCATTCTATATAATTTCCTCAAAGGAACTGAAATTGGCACTTAGTTCCGTTTGACAGAAATACGTTCAACTGATCCATAACGTGCGGTAGTTACTGAGTAGAACGACATGAACTTCGTAAAGATTCATTGGAAATCGATATCCGAAACTACCATAACGGAGGTCGCTCATTGAGTCAACGGGCGACGTCCCTGATGAATCTTCACAAAGATGTCTTTCCACTCAGTAATAAAGCTGCTACACGCTATGGGTCAGTTTTTTTGCATAATCTTGTACATTACGATGGTTATCACTTCTCAAAGACTCAAACCACTTCGCAGCGCAACGCACTTCTCAAAGACTCAAACCACCTCGCAGCGCAACGTAAAGGCGGGTCTCATCCCTAGATCACATAGAATCACCTAACGGACCGCGTTCGTGGTTACGGAACTCGAGAAGCTACACTGTCAAAATTCTGGCAAAGTTAGGCCGTGACCTCTCCGTTGATGGGAGGAGGGGGGGGGGTAAATATTGCAGGTTTTAATAATTCCTATTTGTTTCGATTATCTGGATACTATACATATATCAAGCCGCTACCTCAGCGCACTAGAGCGCTCTGCGACTTCAAATCGCCAATCGAATCCATCAAATCGATCGGAATCGATCCTTCCCACAAATCATCGGGCAGATTACACCGTCTGATCTCCCCCTCCACTCCCTTCCGCCAACCTTTTACTGGACGTCCACGCCGCCTTCTTCCGGGAGAATCTGGATACTTCTTTTTCAATAAAGAGTAAAAGAAGAAATTCTATTTTTTTTTCTTTTTTGTCACAGGTTTTCCCAGATCTACGTCTCGGGCTGATAACTTACAGGTGCGACCACGAGGCCGGCTACTTCATTTCGAGGATGGAATGCGAGAGATGCAACTTCACGTGCAGAGCAGAAGAATCGTCGACCGAAGTGATAACGTGCCCGGTGGACCCTGCCCCGTTTTGGTCGGGGCTTTTCCTGGGGATCTTGACCGGGGCGGTGACGTGCGCTCTCGGCTTGAAAACGGCCCGACGGGCCGTAGCATCGGTGGGCAAAAACCCGGACAGGACCCGAGGGAACTCCGTCGCCACCGTTTACAAAGAGGACAAGGTGCTCTTGCAGGCTGACGAGGGTGACCGCAGCGAGACTCGCTCCGCGGACTCGGCCGAGAATCGCGGCTCACCAAAAACCAAGAGGAAGAAGACTCTAATGTCAGCGATCACCGGTCTCCTGATGTTCGGACCTGCAAACGCTTGCGACGTGGTCGTCACCGTGGATTCGGGCGACGTGACGATGGTCTGCCACGACTTGGTCTGCGCGCCGCAGACATCTTTCCCAGTCCGGCCGAACCAAGAGATCTGCATCGAGAACCACCGAGGAGTCCGAGTCTCCGTCAAAGTCACGGGTATCTTCACGACGGTGCGCTACGATCTCGCCTACTACACGGCGGACTACACGGTCAACGCGCGCTCGGTGAGCAACTGCTGCACCGACTCCGACGAGACCAACTGCTGGGACAAGAGCGGGAACTGCCACCGGCGGGCCAGGGAGAAGCTAGAGACGCAGGCGGGCAACGCGTCCATCAACTTCCAGTGCCTGTGGTCCAATCAGAACAAGCTGTACACCAACTGCGCCTACTTCGCGAGGACGGAGAGAGAGGGGGGCTTGTTCCCGGTGCTGCAGAAGAGTTTCGAGAGCAGGGAGGTTAGACTCCACGTGGGCGGAGCGCCGTACGCGCGGGAACGCACGCTGGTGCTGAACGACTTCACTCCGACGCGCAACCTCGACTTGTCCACATTCGGTTTCGAAACGATGCCCATCTCGGTGGTCGGCTCTTTCTTGCAATCGTCTCCTTTCCGGTCTTTACTACTATACAATAGTACGTTTTACTACGTCGATAGCGCAGAGCCAGGCGCCCCGAGGAGCAGTATGCTTGGCGATTTCCAAGTGGCCCCGAAGGATAATACCACGGCGTCCGCTGACCCCATTATAACGTGCGAGGCCCCGTCCGGTAGCTGTAACTGCAAGTGCTCTTATTCTCAGAACAGCAGCATCAAAACGTTTCAAAGTCGGCTGGAGGACCACGAACCGCTTCAACGGTACATCACGGTGAGTACCAGTCCATGGGTGATGTACCACTACGAGAGGGAGGAGAAAGGCGAGATGCTCCTTCAGTTGGGGAAGAGGGTGAGCGATTCAGGGCGGAGGAGAGGTAAGTGCGACGTCGGATTGTTGGGCGTTCACGGTTGCGTTTCTTGCGAGAATCCGGCGTCGATTATCTTCCAAGCGAATCGGAGCACGATCGAACGATCAGGGGTGGTGCCGTTCCTGTCCAACTGCACGTTCGACCAGAACACGGTCAACTGCGACTATGAGCCGACCGAGTTGGTTTTGCAGGGTCGGCCCGACGCTTGCTGGTTTCGGATGCCGACGCTCAAGAAGGAATTCAACGTCAGGGTGAAATATTACGCGTTCGGAGGAGACGAACCCATTGTTAAGGATAAGTGCACGCGGGTCTACTTCAGCGTGGGAGAGGCCTTGCGGCATTTGGTGACTAGCAGCACTTTCATCGAGACGTTTCTGGCAACTGTTATTATTATCATAATTTTAGCTTTAAGCTTTCTGATATTTATTAGGATTCTGCACAAAGGTGAGCCGATTTGCTCGGCAAATTTTGTACGGAATGCAGACGATCTGCTAGAGCTGTAAAATTGTTTAAAAAAATAAATAAATTCCTACAAAACGTATTCTTCTGTTCAGTTTGTCAACGTAGAGCACAATGTTGATCCACTATTTTTTACGGTAAGACATCAATGGCTAATCAGAGTAAGCACATAGTTTGATTCTCGTTCATGTTGAAACAAAAGCGAAATGTTTTTAGCAGTCTTCGAAATCTAACCAAAAATTTTAGTCTGTAAAAACTTGGCTGGGCCGCGGAGCGGCCCAGCCAAGCTCCCTAATCAGAGAGCAGCCTATATCAGAGCCCTAATCAGAGAATTAGCTGTGCTTTGGCACAGTTTTCAGACGTTCCAAATTAAAATTGTATTATTTATTGGGAGGCGAAGGGCGATTGAAAAGGCAATGTACATACGCAAATAGTGATTGTCAACATGATACAGAACACGGCATCCTTCATAGACTTTAGACAGGAATAAGAAACAATCCGACAGTTACATTTGCTCACCTGCAACATACAATACAAACACGACATTTAAGATAAATGAACTTTTCAAACTTTCTTTATTAGAGCGAATACTTCCAATTCTAATGGATGAGGATTAAACCAGGTTAATTTGAATTATTTTGTTCTGCAGATTCTTCAGAAGCGGCTAAAATTATAAGTACTTTTTCGGCCTTAAACGTTCAGAAGCAATTCAAGTTTATAATCGTGGATTCAGGAACACAACAACCAATACATATTGAACCGATTAAAACTCACCATTAATATTCAATGAGAAAAAGTTGGTCCTTGCCGCATGAATCGATTATCATGAAGCTGGATATTTATCGCCAAAGTTCCATTGAGAGAGATTTTTTTAGGAAATGTTGATTACAATAATGAGAAATCTTTTGGGTAAACATCTGTCTTACAATTAGACGGATATAGAGTTCAACTCCGTACATACAGAATTTCCCAGTTTGGCCCACCTGCTCTGAAATTTTACTTAATTCATATTTTGAAACGAAACTTCGTGCGGATGATTATGAATCAATGTAAGCTAGTTTCGGGGCTCCTCAAACATTTTCGACCTTTTCAATAGGGGGAGCTGCGGACCTTAAATTTTTTCTTCGAATAGCACCCCTCCCCTTTTGTGATACCTCAATCGAAAGAGGACAAAAAAATAATTTTTTTTTGCGCAAATCGCAGGTCGCCATTTTAATTTTGGACAAACTGGCGGTCAGTTCAAGATATAGCAAAGCCCAAAATTTGTGTGAATTTTGGTAATCCGGGATTTCTTGACACTCGAAAACCGAATTTGCTACCTGGGAGTTTCATGGCACGAGAAACCAGAATTTGGCTTCAGTTTTACAGAAAACCGCTGAACAATGGCTCAATTACTCATTTTTCGTCAGTGACCGCAAAAAATAGGCATTTTGAAAACCAACGTTGGATGCGAGTTGCCCGTGCCGAATCAACCCCCCCCCCCCCCCCCCCCCCCCCCCCNGATACCAGCTTTAATGTAAATATTTTTCCTTTTTTGTTTGGCAGTTTAATTTCCTGCTATTCCAGTTTAAGAAATGTAAATCTAGGAATCTCAGGAATGTAAATGGGTAAACACTTAAGATACTTGTAGTTTTCTCGTCATTTTGAAATAATAATGGGTTTTTTCGAAAAACCAATGCTTAATTCGGTTTTCGAGTGTCAAGAAACCCCGGATTGCCAAAATTCACACGAATCTTGGGCTTTGCCATATCTTGAACTATGACTAACCGCCTGTTTGTCAAAAATCAAAATGGCGACCTGCGATTTGCGCGAAATTTTTTCCTTTTTTTATCCTCTTTCGATTGAGGTATCACAAGGGGGGGGGGGATCGCCGTTAGAAGAAACAAGTTAGGGTCTGCAGCTCCCCCTGAGGAGGGCTCCCGAAATTTTCGGGGGACCCAAAAACTAGCTTACATAGATCCGTGAACATCCACGAAGTTTCGTTTCAAAATAGGAATTAGGTAAACTTTTAAAGGAGGTACACCGGACTTTTGGGACACCCCCCGTATACTTTTACAGAGCTTACTTCAAATAAAATATTCCATGTTTTTACATGATAAAATGAAGCACCAACAGTAAAGTTATATTCTAGTATTCCAAATGACTTTAAAGAAGCATAGATCTCAATTATTATTTTAGTACGAAATAAATGAAGCATTAAAAAATTCAGCAAAAATTCAAAGGCATAAATATTTTAGACAACTCATACAATCGATTGGAAATAGCGTTTTGATCGACGTGATTCTCAATGGGGAGGTCTAGGCTTGCATTGCAACGGCAAGGGGGGAAATAATCATCATACATGGCCGAGGTGACCGTTTCTACAATGTAACATGAAACCAAACCGGCAATACTGCAAAAATAAATTTATCCTATTTCACCCAGTTTATCGTATTTACAAAAAACCAGATAAAGGAATCAGTCGACTATCGTCTTCCACCAGTTGAATCTAGCAGTCCCCTTTCCCAGTTCTATAAAACTTCTGTGATTCGCGAGTTGTACGGTAGCGTAGGATCTTAACTGGTGAGTTGGTCGAATGACTACCTAAAGCTGCATTTTACCGGACTGCCGGCGACATTGAATTCCCTTAAGTGTGCTTGGCTCCTGATGGCAGGATTTCAGGTGAGAAGTTAAAATTGAAAAATCTTTAATCTAGAGGGACCGGAAACGCAAGAAGTACCCACGAAGGCAACGAGCAATTGATAGGAGACCGATCGACTGAGTAAGTAACAGGCAGAATAATTTTTTAATCAAAATTTCACCAGTGGCGTGGCGTGCATTGCGATATATCGATAGATCTGACATTCAAACCTATGGAAAAGGATCGATGAACAAGGTGTTCGCAGCGAGCACCTTAATAATCGATTCTTTATCATAGTTTCAAATGGAGAAATATCGATAATCGATTATTCACGCCACGCCACTGAATTTCACGTGGAACACGCATTGAACCTATTGGAACTCCCGAATTCAACTCATACATCGACGGTGTAAGTCAGCAATCACATAACTCGGTTTGCGACGTCGCAGAATTCCTGTCATACTTTCTTTTTTGAACGGGAAACTACTCAACTGCAATTCTTTAAAACTGCCGTGATTTTTTTCTCTGTGCGAAGAACATTCTGCAAAAACTTCAAGGAATGATGTCAAATGGGCCTGTTGCAAACTTTTGCTAGAGCAAATCTAAGAGTTGTTTCCTACAGATAATGCCTCAAAAATCACGATGAGCGCATCGGCAAAGTCTGAAATGCACTCATAACTTCACAATCTGCGTAAGAAATTTGCGATTTTTTGAGCTTCCCGCTTCGAAAACGATACTACGGTACAGGTGAACATTTTGTTAGAGGAGTCGTTCCATTGTCGGCAATACTCATCATGGCCGACGCCAGTCCGCCAAAACACGTGTGATGGAACGAGATAACACCTAAACAGGATTAAACCAGATAACAATCGGCGTGTTTACGTTCATATTTTCCTCGCCCGCCTTAATTGACCTTGAGTTCTCCTCGAATTACGCGAGGAACTGCGCAAGCGTCGGCCATGATGAATATTGTCGACGATGGAGCGACTCCTCTAACAAAATGTTCGCCTGTGCAGTAGTATCGTTTTTGAAGCGGGAAGCTCAAAATAACGCAAATTTCTTACGCAGATTGTGAATTTATGAGTGCATTTCAGACTTTGCCGATGCGCTCAT